AGCGACTTGTCAGCTGTTCCTATTCTAGGATGAGACATAGGAAGAGTTTCAGTCCCAAATACTGAACATGTGGATTTGCCTTACACCGGTCAGAAGTTTGGTTCATCCAGCTTAGTACTGGACAGGTAGCACTTCTCTGGGGGTATTGGTCAGGTAGTGGTCTTTCCCTGAGATCCGTTAATTGGAGATGTCAATGGGGATGGCAGGGATTGAACTTGGGACCTTCAGCATGCAAAGTATATGCTGTTCCGTTGAGCCGTGGCCACTCCACAAATACAGGTCAAACTAGGGGCCCTGCTAACCATTTGTGCCATTGACTTCGGCCTGAAACCAGTTTTGTCTGATTCATGCAGTTTACATCCCCTGCACAGCAGCCTTTAAGAGCACATAAATCGGCACCGTGCATGGAGGCGCTGAGTGATCCGTCATCTCCAAGTAGGGGTGAATGCACAGCCAGTACACTTTCAGCAGTAGTAGTGGTCCCCCCCCCCCATTGCTTTCATAGCTCTAAGCCTGATAGTATGTAGCTGAAATAGTAGCTTTAGTAATTGGGGCTTCCATAAAATCACAAGTGGGCTGTGAGCGAGCCACTGGCCCTATGAGATACTGTAATCCTTTTGTGGGACTGTTGACTGTGTGAACGGTCCTTGGAGGCTTGTCTTTTCCCACTTCTCTACGGATCTGTGGCTCTGGAAAGGGAATCGTTGCTGAGAAAGATGGCTGAACTGCCGTTTGCGGGTGGGCGGGTACTTTTTTTTTTTTTTTAGTGTTCCACTGCTGGGGCTTGTGAGGCAGAATGGTGACCCTGGTGGAGCTCAGAGCCATAGGTGGGACAGGGGAGGTGAAAGGCGTCACCTGAACGACAGCAGCTCATCCTCTCTCTGTCTGTCTGTCTCTCTCTGTGTCTCTCTCTCTCTGTCTCTCTGTCTGTCTCTCTCTCTCTCTCTTTCTCTCTCTCTCCCTTTCTCAGAGCACTCTGGGAAGCATGGTCAGTATTTACAGTGAGGCAGGGGACTTCGGCAACGTCCTTGTCACGGGGGAGATCGCCTTCTCCTTGAGCTACGAGCAGAAGGTGGAGATCCTGTTCATCCACGTGAAGGAATGCC